ATTTGAAACAACTTTGCATTTTGGTTGAAGTCACAAATCCCTCTTATTGTTCAGCCTTACCCCTTAATTTACCTGTTACCTGTTTCATGTGGCCTTCAAGCACAGAAGTATTTAGAACAAGTGAAGGAATGTATTTAATCTTCTAATAAACTGTGAGTACAAAAGTATGTCTCTCGTACTCTCATGCACACAGAGTAACACGGTCACGCTCATTGTAATTAGCACCCTTTGAGTAATGGGATGATTCAGCCTGGAGGTGTTGTGCCAAATCAGCATTCAGATAAGTTTCAACTCCTTCAGGAACGTCTGTTTGTAATGGCTTACACACACACACACACACACACACACACACACACACACACACACACACGCACACACACACACAACTGAAAGTGTAATGATTTTGTTGTGAATCACATACACTGTGTGTGTTTATGGACTGTATCCATAAAGATGCTTGGGGTACTGCAGAATATATATTAGCTTTAGAACAAGAACAGGTCAGAGCATCCAAAACCTATTCTAATGTGCACTGTCGGTAAAACCACAAGCTCTTGATTCCAAGTTGCTTGTATCTCTGGAAGAAATGGAAAGAGCATGGTAGGGCTTTGCATAATGGAGTTTACTAGGGCTGTCATTTAATTGAGTGTGATTAATTATTTTTTTTTAAGTGTGGTAAAAAATGAATGTAATTAATCATGCCAGCTGACCCATGCAAGCAATTCAAGCTTGAAGTACAACCAACATTTAAAAATATTGCATACTGCATATTCTGAACAGTGTGTAAATCTAAGCCAATACGATTCATTCTGAAGCCCTTTTTATTGACTGCACTTTATTTATCTTGTATTTGTCTGATTTTTACACTTGTATTAAGTTAAAAGCAGTTAAAAATTTACTAGTGCAGTAAGACACTATACAATTATTTTGAAAATGTACGATTTGGAATGAAGCTGTACGCCTAGCCCAACACCTAAAACTAAACCTCAGTGGGGAATGACCAGGTTAGAAATTCACACGAATTCACAACTAAGTTGCCAGTAGCACACCAGAGACTGCAAATCCATAAAACAAAGTTTGAATGGAGTTTATACAATTGAAGCTAAATTAACAGCAGAAAAACTTCCAGAAATGAAAGACAAAAGCAAACACAATATGCAAAAAAATGCAAGAAAGATGGCAAATTGCAATTAATTATGCACATATTAAATATACATGTATTATATTATATTATTTTATAATTTATTAGATTATAATTTATTAGATTATATTAGATTATATTATATTTTTGGGGTGCCTCAGGGCTCAGTTCTTGGATCACTTCTCTTCTGTCTACAGGGCATCATTAGGTTCTGTCATTCAGAAATAGGGCTTTTCATCATAGCAGTGACCGGAAGCAAAGTAGGAGAGAGAGAGGGGGGCGGGATTGGGAAAGGTCCGCGAGCCGGGACTCGAACTCGGGACGCCCGGAGCGCAACAGCATTGTATGTCAGCGCACTGCCCACTAGGCTATTGGCGCCAACTGCAAACGATTTTTTTGTAAGTTTTTTAATGTTTTTTCTTATCCAGCTTGTAGGGTAAACAGGTCAATAATAATTTAATAATTTAATAATTTAGTTAACAGACATTTCTTGCTGGATGAAGAACTATCACCTTCAACTTAACTTTGCCAAGACAGAACTGCTTGTGGTTCCAGCAAACCCATCGTTTCATCACAATTTCACCATCCAGTTAGGCACATCAAACATAACTCCTTCAAAAACAGCCAGAAACTGTGGAGTTATGATTGATCATCAGCTGACTTTCTCAGACCCCATTGCTAAAACTGTCCGGTCCTGCAGATTTGTTTATTCAACATCACGAAGATCAGACCCTTTCTTTCGGAACATGCTTCACAACTCCTTGTTCAAGCTCTTTTACTGTCCAGGCTGGATTATTGCAATGCTCTCTTGGAAGGTCTTCCAGCCAGTTCTATCAAACTTTACAATTAATCCAGAACGAGGCAGCACGATTCATTTTTTAACTTTCACAGACTTTTAAAGGTGACATATCATGAAAATCTGACTTTTCCAGGTTTTAAGTGCTATAATCAGGTCCCCGGTGCATCTACCAACCAAGGAAACATGAAAAAGATTAACCCAGTAACTAATGCCAAGGCGAAAGTTTGAGCAAAACATGCTTACTGTTCTGTCTTTGGCTGCACAGACGAGCACAGAACACTAATTAGAGTCCCAGCCTCAGAGGAGACAACAGAGCAGTGGAACTATTGATTTATTTACTGTATATTGCTGCTGCCACACAGATCTAAAATAATCATGCAATTGATTTCACAGCTGTTTACTTTCACAGACATAATCGACTGTTTTTGTAGTTCATGTGTGTTTTTAACGTAAACTTGTGTGTGAAAGAGAACTTAGTTTAGTACTCACATGCTGTGACAGCCGCTTTCTGTCCGTGTGCTTCGAATGTGTGCACTCAGAAAACCGTATATCAGAAGTTTAAACTCATATGTTTTAAAACGCATGATTTCAGCGCGATAAACATGATAATCAGAATTTTTTTTAACAGATACCAGCTGTAATGGTGCAGCTCTATTCTGGAAAAGGGGGCGGGGAGCAGCAGCTCATTTGCAT